ATTACTGCAACGATGAGGTACACTAGACAGCAATGCCATGCTTGTTTCATTTAATCATCAATTTACTCCCAGAGGAGAGGCAGCAGAGAGTTTTTTAAATTTCCGCTTTACAGAGGAGAACATTTAAGCTAAGAAATGTAAGAAATCGGGCAGTCGTGGTGCACGCCTCTAATCCCAAATCTCAGGAGACAAAGGCAGGTAGATCTTTGTGAGTTCAAAGCAAGCCTAGTCTACCGAGAGAACTCCATGATAGCCAAGGCTACAGAGAAAGAGCTTGTCTTTGGAAAAGGAAGGAAGGAAGGAAGGAAGGAAGGAGGGAGGGAGGGAGGGAGGGAGGGAGGAAGGAAGGGAGGGAGGAAGGGAGGGAGGAGAGAGAAAGAGATCACAAAGGTCCCTGAATTTGTTAACAAGAGTCTTACTGGGAAACGGGGCTAGGGATGCCAACCCTAAATTAATTAGGAATTCTGATATGCTGAACCCCTCCTGCTAACCTTACCTGGGGACATCAGCTGTCCAGCAATTTACCTCTCAGATTCCTGGGGTATTCATGGGGGGGGGGAGTGCTAAAAATGAAACAGCCTGGGCTTATATGTCACCTCAATCTCAACCAGGAGAAAATTACATTTATATCATGGAAGCATCACACAACTGTTGGAGATAAAGTTAAGCAAACAACAGTGGTATAATTAAAGTCAGAGCTTGAGGCCTCTTTCCAAGAGAACAAAATTGAAATAACTACCACTACCCCACCAAAAATATGATTTAATTAAACATGCATGCACATTGTTGAGGAGTAATCATTAAACCAGCCTCCAAGGGGAAAAATGTATTTGCTGGTTAATTTAAAAAAAAAAAAACTATATTACTGATTTCTTCCCCAATCTCGCTCCCCCAACAGTTCAGTGTAAAAATGTCACCAGGTTAAAATATGAAGGTGCTGATGACAGAAAATCTGAAGGTTCAGATTCCCTGGGAGCTGCACCAACAAAGCCACCATTTTCTTCTTCCTCCAAGTGCCGTCTGCCCCCCCAACCCCCAACCTCCCTCCCATTTCCTTGGAACTACAAGTCTCCGTTCCCATCATATCCTTGAGGGACACCCCTCCCCTTTGACACTGTACTTCTTTTATTTGTGTTGTTGAAGACAGGGTGATCTGCATGTCAGAGGTCAGAACAGTGCCCTCCCCGGGCTGGGTGTTCATTCTCAGGTCTTCCCGTGAGGAATAAGGCTTGCACTAATGACTCTTTCCTATGTGCTATTATTGGTGAGGCAATTAAGCCTTGCAGACATGGGGGCGGAGGAGCCTGTCTGCAGGTGCCTGCGGGCTTCTGGGTAATCAATCAGGCCTCTCAGCTGTACTGTCAATCAGAGCTGTGCCTGAGCGGCATCTATTGACGGGTCTCAGCATGCGGGCGCTTTTCCGCTCCCTCACCTCTTTGGAGTTCACAGTAATATGGACTTTGAGCCTGCTGTTTTTTCATCATAGAGTGGAATTTTTTCATTTTTCTCTGCTTGTGCTGATTCTCTCACCCCCCTGTTTTATCCTTTCAAGACTATCATAAAAAATACAGTATTTACCACAAATCCCCCAGAGGGCTTCCTGGTTGTGGTTTCAATATGTGTTATTCTGTATCTCATTTCTCTTTCTCCTCCTTACCCTGAGACTCATCAGGCTTACAACCTGTGATCCCTTCAACAACCTCCAAACACCTGTACCCCATGTCTTTCAGTGTTTCTGACCATGTACCTACCACTGCTCTCCAGAGACCTCTACCTAATCACCAGCAGCAAATTGCTCTCCCCATGGCAGACAGCACCTAGCTTTACTTTTCATTGAATATTGACAAGTTATAATTGTGTTTATGAGCTACAAGGCAATGTTCCAAATTGCATTTGGGTGCTTTTCGTTTGTTCCTTCAGTCAGCTTGAAAGAACACTCCCTCTTGACCAGCATCTCCCCAACCCCATCCACCTCCAATGGTCCTAATTGTGTCATCAGCCTCTTGGCAGGTACTTCATATGCTGAATTCTCAAGACTACCCTAATTTCAAATCATCCAATCCTCAGACCAGTTCTCCTAGTTTGGGCTTGCCAAGTCTGGTCAAATTACACTGAAATGAGCTTATTTTAAGCAACTGAAGCATTTAGCATATTGCAACATTGTACACTCGCAGTCATCAGCTCTAGAAACCACCTAGCTCAGTGAGAAACCGCATCCTCATTTTCTGTAAACAAAAAAAAAAAAAAAAAAAGGAACCTTATTTGCTGCGTGGAGAAACAGTCGAGGCCCGTTTGGAATGTGTATCTGTGCCCCTCCTCCACCCGGCTCCAGCAGCTGTGGAAGCCCAAAAGCATGAGCTTGTCAGCACACACACACACACACTCGTAGACATGCACACACACTTGCACACATGCACAGACACACACGCATACAGACATGACTGGGCTATCCTTTACCCATCGCTCAGACTCAGGCAAACCTTAGCGTTACCAGTATGAGGAATTACAGTATTAAAGTGAAATCTTTTGCTCTCTACTTTGCACAAGTCCTGGGGTCATGTTCTCCTGGTTCAACAGCTCAGGAATGATTTCTTCACTCTCTCCATTCACAGGAAGCACCCAAGACCACAGGAAGCACCCAAGACAACTAACTGCCAATTTGTAAACAGTATCTTGACAGTTTCTTTCACACATAAAAAAAATGGAAGTATAATCTCTTTTTATGAAATCTCTCCACACACACACACACACACACACAAAAAAAAAAAAAAAATCTGTTGTCAGCACCAAAATAATCAGTTTACCCAACAGTCTCTTAATGTGCAAGCAAAGCATAGCAGGAAGAGAGTAACAACAACTGACACACAGAGCCCTGATCCGGGTCCAGGCGCGGTGCCAAACACGTCCTCTTTATACGCCCCTAGTCCACCCTGTCTGATGGGCCCTGCTAGTACAAACACTTCTCAGACGAAGGAGGGGCTTGAGGCCACAGAACCAGCTCTCCAGCCCAGATGTCTGACCCCAGTTAAAGTATTTTGTTTTCTGCCTACATAGTCCGGCCTTGGCACACTGTCCAAGGAGCAGGCTGTGGTGTTTCTGGATTGCAAAACTCTCCGAGGTAAACCCTCTTTGTTCGGCTCTGTACCTTACCTAGCAGTGCCCGGATATAACGTGACCTCCCGTGCTATAGGAGAAAAGAGCCTCTCTCGTTTTCCCCGGACAGCAGAAAGGGCTCTGTGAGTCTCGCGAGAGTTGCCTCTATAAAGTGGTGAGTTGGCCTACCTATCTCAAGCTCCAGAGCCTTCCGTTTTAGGAGTTCAGTCTTTGGGGTGTAAATTCTCCCTTCATCACCCCAAACTCAAACTAGGCCCTGGGATGCCCCAGCTTTAGCCAGACCTCTACTTGAGACAAAGCTCAGCATTGTCCTTTTAGCTATGGGGAGGTAACAGAAGCAAGAAGTAGTGAATGCTTTGACCGCCTCAGCCCCCACCCTTGCCCTCTTTTCTCCAGATGAATACACTTCCTCCAAACCAATGTTTCTGTCATCACTGCTCCCTGGGACATATTTTCTCTAAGAGAAAAGACTGGCACGGAGCTTTTACCCTGAACTGCTGGTGCCCAAAGGTTACCTTCCCACATCCCCTCAAGGATCTGTGATCTTATCCCATGAAGACGGTCTGTAAGTCAGTGAGAGCATGCCGAAGGGCCCACAGCCACTAGGAAGGCTTTCTGTGTTCAGCGAGTTCAGTCCGTCTCGCTACCTTGCCTGCCTGGCTGGGATACTCCACAATGGAGGATTAGAGAGCAATGTCAGGGCAACAGGGGGCATCAGACTGGGCTTGGGCAGGTCATGTGTTGATGTCAAAAATCCAGCATGGGGGAGACACTGCTTGGAACAGACACTATAGAAAAACATGTGCCATGAAGTTCTAGTTTTCGTAAATATTATTTTCATGAAAGTTGCCTTGACCTTAGGACTAGGGAAGGGACAAGTTTCAGAGTAGGAAGAGAATCCGGGAATGAACAAATTATTCACCCAAAGAAAGGAAGGAGTAAGAGAGGAGGCGTTGGGGAGCAGAAGGAAAGTAATAAGAAAAGAGAAAAAAGAAAGCAGGCAACACCGATGCCCTCTATGGTACACATAATATCCTAAATCCTCATCAATGATAATTTTGCCTCTGAAGTCAGTTAAACTCCTTCACGAATATCAACCAGAGTAAGAAAAAAAAAAACAAAACAAAACAAAACTATTTCCCCTACCAGGTGTGAATTTACATTTTGTTCCAAAGTCAAACTTCATATTGCTGATCATATACCAGAAAAGTGTAAGTGATAGTCTGAAAGTTATACTAGTGAGAACAGAAGGGACAAAAGCCTACGTCACTCTACGTCACTCCGTTTCTCCAGGCAAACCATATGGTAAACACGCACATCCCTGCCAGTCAACACTTACCTGTTGCCACCACGGACCACAGCCTGCCACCACCACCGACCACCATCTGCAATACGCAACCCTCACCCCATCCTCATCCCAACCCCTGCTACGTGATTATTAAACTCCTCCACAATCCAAACTAGAGCTTGAAGGGCATTTTTGTTTCCATGTAAAGCAACACGTTTTCATTCTATGCTGGCTGCTTGTAGGACCCCTTTGCCCATTCTTGCCTAAGTCTCTTTTTAATCGGGAAAATTGGACTCTGAAATGGGTACTGAGCACGGTCTTCGAGCCTCGCGGAGTGAGCAGAAGTGGCCCCTTGCCTCCACGGAGCTGCAAACACAGCGGTGTCAATGTAGCGGTTGGCATGTGGCCCACAGGTCTCGTTATTTCACAACAATACCCAGATGTCAAACATCAGTGCTGGCATTTGAAGCCAAGGGAGTTGGACAGTGTTTAAAACGGTCTTCCGCAAGAGGTAAAGAAAGCGAAGACAGGTCTGTTTAACGCAGCCTGTGTTTCTCCTAACTAGCCATTGACAAGAAAGAGTTATGCAGGTACTTACTATTTATAACCCATGGCCACATCCACAAAATACTTCCTCCTCTGTCGATAGACATTGTCCTTAAATCCCTTAAACAGAGAAGAGATTAAGTCATTTAACAAAATGCTGAAAAATTAGCTGCAGAAGGCCTAAAAGAAAATCACTGTGGTGTTTATTGAGTGTTCAATTCAAATGTAAATCTTATCCTCAGATGACCGACTTGATGGCACAGGCAAAAGCGAGTTGTGCTTACAGTAAAACCTCTTTCAGTTTGGACCAACTAATCTGTGATGTGTGGGAATTCGGGCCAGAGTTTACCTTTACACGAGGCAAGCAGCATGGCTTAGTTAAGCAAATTAATATTTTGCACACTATCTTTAGGTTTTCAAGTATCATTTACAAGTAATTGATTTTCATAATAAGTTAATCTTAGCCTACTCATTGAAATAGGTCAGCTTAGCAAGTTTAACCAAATTTTAATTGCTGTGTGTCAATAACTAATAAATGTAACATTTATTAGAGACTTGGTCACTCAGAGTAATTATCAAATCCTCAGATTAGCAATGGACCAAAGAGGTTTTGCTATACTTAGAGCCTCCACTCAAGGGCAGGTTAGCTCCACTCCTTCCACTGAGGGACTCTCAGTCTGAGGTGTCCTCGCTAACCGCAAGATTTTTATCTAAAATACAAAATAACAACTTAAAATATATTTTTCTTTAGCCTCATGCATTTGGGAAATTGAACACTGGGTCTTCTTTCAGGTCACACGGACTTTTTGAGAGGATTTCCTCAACCATCCCTCTTCATGGCAACAGGCTTCTCACTTCCCTTTTCGTTTTACCCAAAGACAACCAATTCTTTCTGGACTTGTTTCTTTAAGCTGTCAAAAGTCCGAGGGAAACTGGGTCTACTTCCTACTTGTGTATGCCTGTACCACCAACAATGACCAGGAAGCAGAGGCCACAAACCACAGACAGCAAGCGGGAGTGTAAGCTCGGGCTCCCTAAGATTCAACGGTAAAAGAGGTGCCCACAGGGACCTATAAACATTTCTGCAAAATGGGATGTTCAAAAGGGACCCAAACTCAGCAGAAAACAGCCCAGTTCTCTTGTCTAGTTGAAAGAGATTGGGCCCCAAGGCCAGGAATCTTCCTTCATAGAGTGGTGGACATAACTGAAGAATTACCTTTTTTCTTGGAATAACAAAAGAGCTAGTCATGGAGGAGCGAGAGATCATTCTTAAGACTGTAAAAAATGAGGAATGCCACACACAGGAAGCAGTATTCTTTTTTCCCCTTGCGCTCAGCGTTCAGATTGTTTAAACTAAGGCTCTTGGGCAGGCTTGTAAAGCCCTGAAATGTCTATAAACAAAGCTTGTGGCCATAGTTACCACATTTACAAATGGGTCTTTGGCCAAAATAAAAAGGTCTCCTGCTGTAGAGGGTAGACAGAATTGTGCTGCAAAGTGGGTTCTTCACTCGCTAGGAAAACAAGCTACCTGGGGCAGGAAAGCTGAAGAATTCTAAGCACATTTAAGATTCAAAATGAAAGCAGGCCATGAAAAACAGGGAAAGAGTCCCATGAAAATCCCAGCATCTGTTCCCTGATTCCTGCCAGGCCAGACACCATGGTAACTGCACCATAATATGCTGGACTTCCACAGAATCTCAAGGCTCTCCTCAGCGAACACCTGCACGTTTTCCAGGGACGAAAGAGAGAAAATTTGCTCATCATGCCTCATTATCCTTGAGTGGTCATGATTACACAAATGTTGCAGGGGATCCGGAGCTTCCTGAATTCATCCATGGCCTGGCAAGGTTAGAGATGGGTTGCTAGCTGCACAAGCCGTTCCAGACACACGGCAATTTTGGCCATCCATGCTGAACTGAGGCCAGGGATGGGGTACCAGACAAAATACAAGATGCCCAGTTAAATCTCAATTTCAGATAAATGACAAATTTTTCCAATTTTACTGGGCAACTTATATATTTATTTGTAAAAATCTGGTGACTCTCACGCTCAGACAGACAATCCCGTACAACCCCACCCCCAAATTAAATCAAAATGAATGGAAGACCCAGCCTGAGACGCAATGTGCCCAATTCAATTTATGCTGCCACTCAAGTCGGCATCTCAAACAGCTCAAACCTGTTGTGAGAGAAGAACCACTTGGGGAGTTTTAACAGCACTTCAAACCTGGCCATTTTCCCAGAGGTTCTGATTTAAGCTCTAAGGAGTAAGGACATAATTCTCACACTTCGAACACACCTGAATCTTCTAAAGATCCTTTTCCACACAGTAGAAAGTCTCCTTCCCTGGGCTCCTAGCGAGCATCTTGAGGTTGCATTTTTTAAAGTGTCTAAAGAGTGTAACTTGAACTATGCCTTAGAAGACTTGCCCAGTGTAGGCCCTAGCAAGTCAAAAACATGGTCCCATATCCCCCCCAATGTGAGCCTCAACTGGCAGCTCTCAAGAAATACAGACTCTGTGTGTTGTGGCACACACCTGTAATCCCAGCACTCAGGGAGGCAGAGGCAGGTTGATCACTGTGAGTTCGAGGCCAGCCTGGTCTACAAAGTGAGTCCAGGACAGCCGAGGCTACACAAAGAAACCCTGTCTAGAAAAAGCCGAAAGAAAAGAAAGAAAGAAAGAAAGAAAGAAAGAAAGAAAGAAAGAAAGAAAGAAAGAAAGAAAGAAAGAAAGAAAGAAAGAAGAAAGGAAGAGAGAAAGAGAGAAAGAAAGAAAGAAAGAAAGAAAGAAAGAAAGAAAGAAAGAAAGAAAGGAAGGAAGAGAGGAAGAGAGAAAGAGAGAGAGAAAGAGAGAGAGAGAGAAAGAAAGGAAGAAAGAAAGAAAGAAAGAAAGAAAGAAAGAAAGAAAGAAAGAAAGAAAGAAAGAAAGAAAGAAAGAAGGAAGGAAGGAAGGAAGGAAGGAAGGAAGGAAAGAAAGAAAGAAAGAAAGAAAGAAAGAAAGAAAGAAAGAAAGAA